GCGGGAGCGCACGTCGGTGTGTTTCCCCCCCCCTTTCTCAGTTTGTGCATGTGCACAGGCGGCGATCTGTAGAATTAATATTTTTGCATGTGCGCAGAACACCGATTTCCACTCCAACCCAACTGTTGTAACACTTCCCTTTGAACTTTAAAGGAACACTTCCCTTTAAACTTTAACCCCGAAACTGGCCTCCGTGAGATCCCGAACTCATCTAACCAACAAAACTAGGCACCGTTTAAACATTGGTTTTAATAATGCGGGAGTGGAGCTCCGCCTGTGCGCATACCGCCGACGCTAAAATAAAATGGTGGGCAAAGAGCGGAAGCCTTGGGCTTCTGAGTGGAAGTCGCTCGACACCGCAAGGGCAATCAGATGTCAGAAAAGTGCAGCTAGAACGGGAGAATCAGGAAAACACAACTTGGGGACCTGGTAGCAAAACACCCCATTTTAAAGGGGGTTTGAGCCGGAAAGCGACGGCTAGGGACGGTTCGCAGATGTTGGGTGTGTGAACGTGGATATAAAATCCGTTACTGAAGCATGCTGAAAGTGGACTAAACGGCCTGTCTGAACGCACCCACAATGTAGCATCACAAGATCTTGGCAGTGTAACATAAACTTTAATAATTTTTGTGGTTTTTTCTACAAACCGGGGGGTTCTACCAGGTCTGTAGAATAAATGTGTAATGTGTATATCTGACCCCTACTTTGTGTCTATCAATCTACGGGGGGCCAGGAGGTTCATAATTGGATATATGGCTATGTGGGGTGGAGTCTGCTGACATTACAGGGTGGGGACTGGTGATGTCAGAGGGTGGGGGCTGGTCTGGCCTGCTTATCTCCAAGTAAAGACCATTCTGGCCCATATATCAATTTGTCCTGCACAAGGGCAGCTTGAGAAACTGTTGTTCCCTCTTCTCTTCTGTGACATGACAACATCAGTCAGTCACTATTGGTCAATAATGGCTCTGAAAATGTGGGTCAACCCATCTATCAGGATTGCTCAGGCTCTGTATTTCTTATACTTGGTAGGAGTTGGATTAGGGTGCCTATAAACTTCCATCCACAGTGTAGATACTCAGAAATTATTAAATTAAGGTTCATCCAAATGAATTTCCTTCACGTCTAGTACTGTGCTTTGGGGTCACAAATTCCAGTATGGGGAATGGCAGATAAATTTCTTTCCAGGGCATATCAGTGGTCACTTGAACGTTTGACTACGGCTTTGTCTGGTGTTTTGGGACTTGTTTAATGCTCTGCTGACTGCTCTCTTGGCTGTCTGCCTTCCTCCCTGGCTCTACCATGACAGAAGGAGTCTGGAGGCAGCCTGTGGCAAACCGTTTGCCACTACATCCGAAGTATTGTTTTTTATTGCACTTTTTCGGCGGTATGCCACGGGTTGGCCACGGGTGTGCTCCACTTGCCAGATGCTGTGGTGTGATCGCGCCCCGATAATCCACCCATCACCTGTGGCTCTCCCGTGGCAAATTCTAAACCTCTGAATCCCAGAGCCAGAAGGCAACATCAGGAGAAGACCTCAGCCTTGTTGTTGGCTGTCTAGAGGAACTGGTTGGTCACTGTGTGAGACAAGATGGACCATTGGTCTGATTCAGCAGGGCTCTTCTCATGTTCTTATGTTAACGTAATTTGTGGTTTGGTGTGTACACTCAGTTGTTCCCAGGATTTTGAAGAAACATTTCACTGCTAACTGCTTCAGGTCTGTGACACGTCGTTATCTTGCATCTGTGAAGTTCTTGTGCTGTGCCCACCACCCATGGTTCTCCCGCGGCAAATTCGCAGTGTGACCGGGACCTAAATCTCTGAATCCCAGAGCCAGAAGGTAGCATCAGGAGAAGGTTTCAGCCTTGTTGTTGGCTGTCTAGAGGAACTGGTTGGCCACTGTGTGAGACAAGACGGACCATTGGTCTGACTCAGCAGGGCTCTTCTTATGTTCTTATGTTAACGTAATTTGTGGTTTGGTGTGTACACTCAGTTGTTCCCAGGATTTTGAAGAAACATTTCACTGCTAACTGCTTCAGGTCTGTGACACGTCGTTATCTTGCATCTGTGAAGTTCTTGTGCTGTGTCAGTGTAGCAGAAAAAAGGGTTCTCCTGTGTTCTCAAATGAAGTTGGCTTCTGTCAAGTCAGGCCTTTGGTCCATCTATCTCAATATGGTTAGTTTTGATTGACAGCACCTCTCCAGAGTCTCTAATAGAGAAGAGTCATTCCAAATGCCTGCTTCCTCAGTCAACATGAGATACTGGGGATTGAACAGGGGACCTTGTATATGTGAGGCATGTGCTGTGCCGTTAAGGTGCAAGGAAAGTGCTGCTTGCTTATCTAATCATTTTGAACTGTCTTCAATCTTCAAGATTTACCCTTGGGATTATGTGCTCTCATTCAAAGCTGTTATTTTGAACAACAGGAGGGATACTATCAACACACTTTTGTCAGACGTTTTTTCTGTGGAGTTTAGCTGCTGTGATGTGACAGGGTTTCTTTGGTTGCCCTAGGAAGGTGTTTTTGCTTGGGAACTAATAGAGAAGAGTCATTCCAAATACCTGCTTCCTCAGTCAACATGAGTCACTAGGGACTGAACAGGGGACCTTGTACATGTGAGGCATGTGCTATGCCGTTAAGGTGCAAGGAAAGTGCTACTTGCTTATCTAATTATCATTTTGAACAGTCTTTAATCTTCAAGATTTACCCTTGGGATTATGTGCTCTCATTCAAAGCTGTTATTTTGAACAACAGGAGGGATACTACCAACACACTTTTGTCAGAAGTTTTTTCTGTGGAGTTTAGCTGCTGTGATGTGACAGGGTTTCTTTGGTTGCCCTAGGAAGGTGTTTTTGCTTGGGAATGAAGTTCTTTTTATAGAGCCATTGCTAGGAATGGCTTTATGGGACGGAGGGAATCTTGCAACTGAGCAATTTGTATTGGGGTACCCAAACCTCTAGGTGCATCTGCTTCTGATGATTCAGTTGAACATAAGCCACAGAGGTTGACATATGGTTAGAAATGATTTGGAATAATGCTTACCCCAATCAGTGCTTACCCTTGAAACTAAAATTGTTTGAGAACATGATAGATATTATGCATCATCGTCGTCATCATCATCATAGGGGGAGGTTTGCTGGCCTTTTCATTTTCTAATTCTGATGTCAGCTTCTATGAGAAAAGGAGAGAATATTAAAGACAAACAAATGCACATGTGTTCTGACCCATTTTGGGTTCTGGGTACCCTTACTGAAACCCAGAGTGCTTTAATGGGAACCACTGTAGCATAGAGGTAAAGGTGTCAGACTAGGATTTGGGAGACCCCAGTTTGAATCCCCACTCTGCCATGAAAGCTGACGGGGGTGATCTTGGGCCAATTTCACACTCTCAGCTTAACTGACGTCACAAGATGGTTGTGAGTATAAAATGGAGGAGATGAAAAAGATGTAAGGCGTTTTGAATCCCCTTTGGGGAGTATAACTGAAGTAAAGAAATAATTTTAAAATCTAAGAAAATTTAATTCCCAAGAGGAATTTTATTCCGATGGCATATCTGTGTTCACTGAATGCAGGGAAGGGGGGCAGGGGGAATCAGGATCATGCCAATAGACCTGCTTCAACAATCCAGCAGAAGGTCTGAACTGAATCAGTATGCTTGCAAGTTGCACATGTGTACGCCCTGTGTATATTTTCCAGGGAGAATGCCTTTTGCAGGTTTTCCAACTGTGTGGAGACAGCCAATGTAAACACAGCTTGTGCAGGTGTAGTGTCTGTTCACATGCTCCACTGGATGTATGAGGGCCACAAAAGACAATTCAACAATTGTATGATATGTTACTGCCTGGATGCTTTGGTTGCCCAGCAGGAGGGAGAAAAAACTTTTGCAAACTGGAAATTTCTTCTCCTGGCCATGAGTGTGATAGAAATGACTAGACATACATATATGCAAGCAGATGAGTTCGTAAGTTCTTGGGGAGCAAGTACATTTTGTAGATTTACCATCTGCTAAACTGATCAGGGGATGGAAGGCGGCATGACATAGCCTGATCTTGTCAGTTCTTGAAAGCTCAGCAGGATCTGTACTTGGATGGAAGATTACCAGGGAAGACTCTGCAGAGGAAGGCAATGGCAAACCATCTTTGCTTCTCACTTGCCTTGAAAGGCCCTTGCTAGGGTTGACATAACCCAGTTGTGACTTGATGGCAGATAGATACATATATAAACTGATCAGCCTTGGTAGCACAATAATTAATTTGTGTGCATTATATATGAATGCGTTTTATTGAATTTCTTTTTTTTAACTCCTGAAATCGACAAGTGTGTTGTTGAGGATTATTGTTATGCTCCGGAAAATGGTTTCAGTATCCAGATCTCCATTTTGATCCTGTGCTTTTGAGCCTTCCCAACCACCTCCCCTTCCTCTACAAGAACACCAAGACAGGGCTGCTGTGTAAAACAGGATGCTGGACTAGTCTGATCTGGCAGGACCCTTCTGATGTTCTTACCTGGTTGAGTTTGGGGAAAGTTCTTGATGAAGCAGGAGTTACGACTGCTACCAGCTTTGGGAGCAACATGTCTGTGTGCCTCCAGGCTTTCCTTTGGCCATTAATGGTTGGTCATCAGGATAGTAGAGGCAGATGCAGCTGACCTCTACAGGGACAAGATTTTGAGTGATATGGTAATCCATTGTGAGAATCACATTTATTTTAAAGGCAAAAACACTCTCATTGGGGACCCAGGTCAGATCAGGGCATTCTGTTCCCACAGTTTAAATCCCTTCACATCCCTCCTCCTGATGTTGGTATTTGCCCCACAGAGTTAAACAGAGAAGTAGACAGTTTTCATTAGGAAACTGGGGAGGTAGACAGTTTGCATTAGGAAAGTGGTACAGGGAAAAGGGTTTAATTGCCCTCCTTTTAAACTATGGCCCTAGTCATACCTCCAGTCTAGCAAACATATTATAACTTTCTCTCTTTCTTTTTTATTTTTTTTTATTTCTTTAGTCAGGTTTGATAAGGACACAGGAGAATGACTTCCTTATATCTCCATTACCTCAACACCTAGCACAGGAACACAACTACACGGCACCCGCTGGACACCACCCTCATGTATTGTATAAACGGACAGCCGAGGAGAAGGTTCACCGGTACAAAGTAGATTCAAACCCCCATCACTTTCCCCCTGGCCATGGCAGAAATCACCCTGCCCACAAGTATCACATTCAAGCGAACGATTACCACCACGGAAGGTTTCAAAAGCAGCATTTTTGTGGACGTCGCAAGAAATGTATGTAAGGAAACTTTCTCTCTCTCTTTTTTTAACATAGCAGCTCCTAGTTTATTAGATGCTTGCTGTTGCCGTGGGTTGCAGTCACTGCTTTAGTATGACTGCATGTTGTGGAATTGCCTGGCTGAAAAGGACAATTTTAAGTTCATTTCTCTCAGGGCTAGTACCACGGGTTTACTGCTGGTGAGCGCACAGGGGATATGATGAGCACATGAATGTTAGTGATGAGCAAATCTTCCCTCTTGGGGGTTTGTTTTATGTAACTTCATATTTATGTAAACAGTTTTGGATCTGAGCTTTTTACCAGAGTCTCCTAGATTAGGTTGCATCTGTGTACTCAAATTATGTATATTTTTTGTTATACATAGTGTATGTCATTTATACATATAATGTACATATAATGTATAATGCTGTTTTGTCGTTGCACAAATAATATTGGATACGGCATATGTTGTACAGGGGGCAATGAGGCATAGAAAAAGAAAAAATCATGCAATAGCCAATAATGGTGGGTTCCATTTGCACAAAGCAGAAGCAAAGTCCAAATGGGGATATAGCAGTAGAAACTGCAAGGATGAGAAATGCAAACAAATCCTTGAGAGGTCCGAAACTTTGCTGTTTTCCTGAATAGTGATGATAGGGACCGTCTCTTTCTTTTCTTTTTTTGCCAGTGGGACTGCCTCTTTCTTTTCTTTTCTTTTTGCCAGCGGGAAGGCTCCCACCATAGCAGGAGACCTACAGACATGAGACTCCCATACTAGGAGGGGGGGGGAGAATAAAAGGAGGGCATGGGTCATGCATATGGGACTTTATGCTCAGTCAGGTGTATGTGCATAGGCTCAGTGAGCATACATTCCTCGAAGCCATTGAAGTGAAGATAGGGCTGGTTGCCCCAATCCTGATGCCCCCTCTTGATGTATTCATTTCTGTGTAGATGGATGAATGAAAAGAGCTTCTGATTTTGGGGTAGCTTGTTCACCCAACCTTTTGGAGTCCGTGGGTGCATTTGAAATTCTGTTTCTGGGTGATGCGCACAATTACAAAATGGCTGCAACAGTAGGTGGAGCCAGTTACCAAATGGCTGCTGCAGGAGGCAGAACGAACCACCAAAAGTCAGGTTATATATAACCCTAATACTAACTCTCCAACATTCAGGCTCTAACAGGATGCCTTTTAATCTACACAGCTGATCAGAATCCCTACTAGGCAAAAGCCCACCCAGCCCCGCCCACTTTCTAAAAGCACATAGTGGGCAGTAGAAAAGGTGTCAGTGGACACCATGTGGGCCCCTGTTTTAAAGACACCAAACTTGATCAGGAAGGGCAGGTTAGTATTAAGGAGAGTCAGTGTGGTGTGGAGTAGTGATTAAAATGGTGGACGGGGGGGGGAGCACGGGCAAAGTGCAGCTTTTTAAAGCCGCACCAAAAGAGACATGCGACGGCGGGATCACATAGATCCCCTGAGCCACTGCGCACTTCCTCCCCGGCACGATCAGATGCTCCACTGAAAGGGGAGCGAGCATGCGCAGTTCGGCCAGGAGCCTGGATTGCTCCGGACGACGGGCGCGCTGGCGATCCCACGGCGTTCCCAGTAAGTCCTCCTCTGGGGGTGGTTCTTTTTTACTGTGGGTTTTTGGCCTGAAGGGCCGGATCGGGGACGGGTGCACGCCGCTTCCCAGATGTTGCGGTGAGATTGCGCCCATTTGCTGCGCTCCCGATCCGTCCCTCTCCCAGGCCAAAACCTTCCATGTGACCGGAGCCTCTGATGAGAGAAACTTTGAATTTTAACCCCCACTTTTTCATGAAAGCCTGCTGAGTGTCCTTGGGCTAGGATTGCCAGGTCTGGGCTGGAAAATACCGGGAGACTTTGGGAGTGGATCAAGGAGAAGGTGGGGGTTGGGAAGGGGAGGGGCCTCAGCGTGGTACAACGCCACAGATTCCACTCTTCAAAGCAGCCATTTTCTCCAGGGGAGCTGATCTCTGTCAGCTGGGGATCAGTTGTAAAAGCAGGAGATCTCCAGGCCCCACCTGGAGGCTGGCAACCCTACTTTGGGCCTGTCACACACTCCCTGACTTACCTCACAGGGCTGTTGTTGTGAGGGTAGAAAGGAAGAGAGGAGAACAATGTTGGCTCTTTGGGTTTTGATGGGAAAGGTGAGGCATAAATGAAGTAAACAAATAATCAATTAAGTGTAGAATTCCATCTTTTCTTTCTTGATGTCAGTGTTCCTCAAAATGGGCCTTTCCTAAAAAACTAAAAGTTTATCTCTTTGATCAGATTTGAAACAGGACCTTGCTCTACTTTTGGTGTAGTGGTTAACAGTGTTCCTTCTAAGGTGAGTTAGTGTGAGGTAGCTCAAAGTTTTTTAGCCTCTGGCTCACAGATTTTTGTCTTAGCTCAGGAAGGATGACTCTAGAGCAAACTAATGTATGCAGTAGCCAAATTGCTCACTCTCAACTTTAATGCCAGTAGCTCACAAAGTAGAATATTTGCTCACAAGACTCTACAGCTTAGAGGGAGCATTGGTGGTTAAGTGCATGGACTCTAATCTGGGAGAACCTGGTTTGATTCACCACTCTTCCACTCACAGCTGCTGGATAACCTTGGGCAAGCCATAGTTCTGTCAGAGCTGTTCTTGAAAGAGAACAGTTTCTGTCAGAGCTCTCTCAGCCCCACCTACCTCACAGGGTGTCTATTGTGAGGAAGGGAAAGGAGTTTGTAAACCGCTCTGAGACTCTGAGTAAAGGGCAGAGTAAAAATCCAATCTCTTCTTCTTCTTTTTATTTTCTTTAAAATAGGCTTAATTTAACTCATACCTGGAACAGGGGAAAAAAATGGAAGGGGGGAATTAGCATTAGGCCACGTTTAGAGCAGAGGGCTCATTTTCCTCCCTTCTTGCTTCCATGTAATGATTTAACTCAACATGTAGCTTTTATGGAATCGGCATTAGTCAGCAATCTTTTGAAATCCAGTCATCCCAAGGTACATAATTACAGAGCGGGGCTTGCCAGCCAGCTCATATTTAGCAAGTCATGGTTGAGTAACGCTGTTTCTTCTTAATAACTCTTTTCTTAACAGCAGCAAAGACAAGACTAATCTCAAGGCCAAGGTGGCTGAGAAAAGCTCCCTGCATGCGATTGAGCTATATATTTCATGGAGAACGTATGATCTTAGATTCCCACCTAAACAAATATTTTAGTCTGCACGTTGAGAACAAGCCATTTGCTTTGTGGGGCCAGGTGGCTTGCTTGCAAAAGAGAAGGCTTTCCGGGTTACAATTTCTTTCTTTTTCTTTGGAATGAATATTAACAGTTGGTATAAGTGGATGTACTCTTCCTGGCTCTGCAGCCAGGGTTGCCAACCTCCAGGTGAGGCCTGGCATTTCCCCAGAATTACAACTGATCTCCAGACTACAGAGATCAGTTCCCCTGGAGGAAAGTTGGAATTTATGGAATTTATGGCATCACACCCTTGCTGAGCTCCGTCCTCTCCCCAAACTCTGCTCTTCGCAAGCTCTGTCCCGTAGTCTTCTGGAATTCTCCAATCTGGACTTGGCAACCCTGTCTGAAACCCAGATGTTTAGAACCACTGGACTGCTGCAAAGAACAGGGTTTATCTAATTGCCAGTGCATGGTGCTGTTGGTTATATCTGGAAAATATGCATTAAAAGTTTTAGGATCTGTATCCCAATCTTTAAACAGTTTTAAATGGATCCAAAGATTTCCTCCTGCTCGTGGAAGGCGTCATTCTGTAAGTGGCTGGGAAAGCATTGGGTTAACATAAGAACATAAGAGACGCCAATGTTGGATCAGGCCAAAGGCCCATCTAGACCAACACTCTGTGTCACACAGTGGCCAGAAATACCAGTGCCATCAGGAGGTCCACCAGTGGGGCCAGGACGAAGCCCTCCCACTGTTTGCCCCCCCAAGCACCCCCCAAGTTAAAATAAGCACTGTAGAACCCACAATGTCATGACAGCCTCTTCCCTGTGTTGAACAGTTGCCAACCTCCAGGTGGGACCTAGTGAGCTCCCAGAATTACAGCTGATCTCCGGACCACAGAGATCAGTTCCCCTGGAGGAAATTGCTGCTTTGAAAGGTAGACTCTATGGCATTATAACCCGCTGAGGCTCCTTTCCTTCTCAAACCCCAGCCTCCCCAGACTTCCCCCCCCAGATCTCCAGGGATTTCCCAACCCAGAGTTGTCAACCCTTCTGTGTTGTGATCCTACTTGGCTTTATGACTGGATACCAGGTGAGTGGGGCCATATGGTGAGTCTTTCTCACCTGATCATCACCCTCCCTGCCATCTGGATGCTTGGGTGGGAAAGCGTCCCTTCATTGATTCTGTTTTGGTTGTGTGCAAAGCAGGCCTGGTTTGACTACAAAATGCAATTATCTTCTCTCCATGGTGGCTTTTTCCATGGAGACCGTAGCAAAGTGGCCATCAGAGAATCATGGCCCATGATGCTGATAGGGTGCAAACCATAAAATAAATGTTTGGAGCAATACAATAAACTTAGGTTTGCCAGCCTCCAGGTGAGGTCTGGCCATCTCCCTGGATTACAACTGATTTCCAAACAGCAGAGATCAGTTCCCCTGGAGAAAAAAAAAGGCTGCTTTGGGAAGTGGACTCTATGGCCTTATACTCCGTTGAGTTCCTTCTCTCTTCAAACCCTTCCCTCCCCAGGCTTCACCCCCAGGTCTCTAGGAATTTCCAAATCCAGAGTTGGCAACCCTAAAAACTGGAAGCTGGGTCTGAAAATTCAGATGCCACTCTTCACTGCCTCTTTTTAGTCTAGTAGTAACCGAATATATCAGCTTGGTGATGGAGATTTTGTTGTTGTTGGGAAAAGGTACAAAGGGGAGGAACTAAACACCCGCTCCCCCATCAGTCATGCTCATTATATCACAGGCCTTGTGGTTTCATTCAGTAAAATGAAAATTCCTGGGGGGAAATATCATAGTGTGTGCAATGGGTTAATTGTTAATTGACATCCTTTAGGAGTAGGGATGGGCATGAACCGAACCACAAAACAAATTCATCATGAATTTTGCCCTGTTCATGGTTCACAAACCAAAGTTTGTGACTTTGTTGTTGTTCAGTCGCACAGTTGAGTCCGACTCTTCGCGACCCCATGGATAAGATCTCACCAGGCCCTCCTGTTTTCCGCCATCCTCTGAAGTCTGCTCAATGGGCAAAAACATCCACGGACTTTTAAAGTTGTTTGTGGTGGTTTGTGGGTAAAGCTTTCTTTTTCCTGTTAAAACCACAAAAACAGTTTTATTGTTTAGTCCCTTTAAATTCAGCTTTTTTTCATGCTTTCTACAAACCCTGTTTAAAGGGACAGTGGTTCCTTTTCAATTAGGTTTGCAGGGCCACAAATCAGTTTGGTTTGCAAATAAACCTTCAAGTTCGGTTTGTGGTTCAGCCATGAACCACGAATTGACATGAACCACATTTTCCCAGTTCATGCCCATCCCTATCCAGGAGCCCCACTTTTCTACAATGTCTGCATCATGGATTTCTCCTCTCCCTGTCAAATGTTGGAATCAGTTTGCATAAACTGTAAATGATTACCCCATCTCTTTATTTCTTTATTTATTCATTCATTTATTTACTATATCTATAGTCTACCTTTCTCACTGAGACTCAAAGTGGATGACACAGTGAAAACTGGTAATAGTCCATACAAAGAGATATCTAATAAGCACAATGTGTGTCAAAACAATCAATAAAAGGAGACATCGAATGAACAATGTACTAGGACTACTGAAACCAGAGTGAGCATTGTGTATTAAGTACAATACAGCGTATGGATATAGTGAAGAAACTGGTATTGCATCAGTAGAAATGACAACAGGATGACATGTGAGCAAACGGTTAGTACGTCCTGTACATAATGGTGCAATCCACAGTCCCTTTCTATTTATAAAGCACCATCCTGAACTATTCTGTTATAGTACATCCCTGATACCTTTACATAAAAGCTCTCCTGGTCAACTCCATTTTACCAAAGAAAGCATGGGTTTAAAGGGACTCTTAAGCTCTCCTGGTCAACTCCATTTTACCAATTTATGAAATGACAGGATGGTAGGAACCTTCCTGACATCCTCAGGAAGGCCATTCCACAAGTTGTGGGCCACAACTGAAAAAGCATGTGTACAGGCCATTGTTGATCTTATCCATTTGCAGGGTGGCACCTGCAGAAAGCTCTGAACAGATAAACACAATTGTCATGGTGGAACATAGGAGGAGAGGCATATGCAGAGTTTTGTATGTGATAGTCAGTATCTTGAATTGAGCCCGGTAGATGATGGGCAGCCAGTGGAATAACTACAGAATGGATGTAATGGGCATGCCCAGTTTAGCTCCTGATAATAACCAAAGTGCTCATTCTGTACTAACTGGAGCCTTGGGGTTGACTTCAAAGGGCAGATCCATGTAGAGTGCCTTACAGTAGTCTGATCTCAGTGTTACTGTGGTCTGGACCCAAGTGGTTAGATTGACTGAGTCCAAGTAAAGGGCCACCTTGCAGGCCATATTTACAGAACACAAACTGAAACTGGTTAAGTGGCTGTACTGTGGTGACATTGCTTAGTATTGTTCAGGTGACAATGTCGTAAGAGGAAAAGGTTCTAGAGCCACTTTTCTGTGAGTTCTACCCCCCCCCCCAAAGCAAATATTGTAGCTGTTTCACCCCAATAGTGTTTTCAAGTCCTGGGCAGCAGCTAGGGTTTCCAACCAACAGGAAGCACCTGGGGATCGCCTCCTATTACAGTAGGTGACCACGGTCGGTTCCCCTGGAGAAGAAGGCTGCTTTGGAGGGTGGGCTCTGTGGCATTATATCCTACTGAAGTCCCTCCCCAAACCCTGCCCTCCCCAGGTTCCACCCCCAAAATCTCCAGGCATTTCTCAGCCCAGAACTGACAACCCTAGCAGCACTGTTTGAGTAACTTTCTCAGTAAGTTAAAGCCTTCCCCGGGTGAACAGATTCCTGTACCTACCTTCAAAAGTATAACCCATTGCCAAAGCCCTAACATGGTTCCACTTTGTGCTTGCGCTTAGGGGCATCCTGCTCCTTAGAAAACTGGTGCAACCCAGTCAGAATTATTACCAAAAACGTTTGGCCACACACAGAATAGCTAGTTGAATTGGTCCCTAGATATTATGGGGATGGTGTGTTTGTGTGTGGGGGATGAGTATGTATGTGTGTTTCATGAGCAGATAGAAAATAATTAGGCAGAAATTTGAAGTCTTTCCCGCCTAAGCATGTGAAACTCATTTTTTTGCAAGATGTCTGTTTCCCTCTCAGCGACTTATTGTATTCAACGTCTTTATTTTGTTTGTTTTTTTTCCAAAGGAGGATGAAACAGGACTTAATTAATAATGTCTTTAAAAGAACTCTGCATCCGACAGCCCATTTTAATCAGTGTTTGGCATCCATCGCAATATCATAGCATTCGTTCAGGGTTCAAGTCCCTCGGCACTTTAAGTCTGAACCAAACTGCTCATTAAAAAAAAAAGAAGTTCTGAATATTTTCCAAATCTCGGCTCTGTTTCCTTTTAGACACACCTAAGCCACCCACAGAGGACACAGTCATCCTTTCTGATGAATACGGAAGCTCGGCAAGATTGAAAAGATCCCCCATTAAAAGCCAGAAGGGCGGAAGCTTGAATGTGGAGACTCTAGTTGTAGCTGACAGGAAAATGTTGGAGAAACACAGTAAGGAGAATGTCACCACATACATCTTAACAGTGATGAACATGGTAAGAAGGGGTGTTGAGGAAGAACGTGTCTTAAGCTTTGTGTGTCGGTAGGAGACTGCTAATTTTTTTCACTGACTACATGAACCCAGAGCCTTAAGAATTTGACCCTTTCTCCCTTTTTCCAACCCATTCTGTCTCCTCAAAATTCTGCTGTCTCTTTCCACTGCATACGTAGGCCAAGGCAGAATATTCTTTCCCTCAGGAGCTTTGTGTACTGTATTTTAATCATCACTTGTATTTTTTATGTTTGCTTTGAGACTTGTTGGCTGAAAAGAGAGGATAAGAAATACATAAATGCACATTGATGTATTCTCAATAGAGCAGCTCTAAAGGGCCTTCCTGTTATATTTGTTGTCAGACAGTTCTCTTTCTTACCATTGCATCCATTTTCTCTTTCTCACAGGTCTCTAGTCTTTTTAAGGACGGTACAATCGGAAGTGACATCAACATTGTGGTTGTGAGCCTTCTTCTTTTAGAACAAGAACCTGTAAGTGATGTGCAGTATTCTCAATAGAGCAGCTCTAAAGGGGCTTCCTGCTATATTTGTTCTCAGACTGTTCTCTTTCTTACCGTTGCATCCATTTTCTCTTCCTCACAGGTCTCTAGTCTTTTTAAGGACGGTACGATCGGAAGTGACATCAACATTGTGGTTGTGAGCCTTCTTCTTTTAGAACAAGAACCTGTAAGTGATGTGCACCTCCCTGTTGAGTCAAGGAAAATATTTTATGTTGGAAGTGTTATGCAAGCTTGGCTACACAGAGGAAATTCCTTAGAAAGAATGTGCAAATCATGACAAATCTTACACAGAAACATCATGATAGAATGATGTCATTCATTTCAGAGTTTGCATTTCCCATTTCTATTACTATTGCTGTCCCCCAGTCTCCCTGGAACTATTGAATGAAGACACTTGGTTGACTTGTGGAACTCACTGCTGCATGATGTGGTGATGGATATTATCTTAGGTGGATATGAAGGGGATGGTGGACAGAATTATGGAGAATAGGTCTATTGTTGATTATTGGTCATGAAAATGTAATGACTCTGTGAACCAGCATTAGTTGAACATGGTGTTACTGAGGAAAATAATTTAGAAGAGCTTAAAATAAGGACAGGTTTAAATGTGACTCTGGGTGATCACAAAGTTTTTCACATTTGTATCGCCATGACTTCCTTTATTGAGCCAATCCATCTTGGGTGTTTCTTTTTACCTTCTGTCTTCAACTTTTCCTAGCATTATTGTCTTTTCCAGAGAGCCTTGTCTTCTCGTGATGTGATCCAAGTATGATAGCCTCTGCTTTTGCAGAAGAGGCAAGCTGAAAAGCAGTTTGCCTCTTCTTCAGCCCGAGAACCAGCTTAAGCAGAAGTTGTAAACATGTCTTTAGCTGGGTTTATGGTTCTCCCCAAGTATGTACATATAGCAACCATATAGCTCACAGTTTTTTAGCCTCTGGCTGCTTTGAAAGGCTCCCTAGCATTATTGTCTTTTCCAGAGAGCCATGTCTTCTCATGATGTGACCCAAGTATGATAGCATCCGCTTATGCAGAAGAGGCAAGCTGAAAAGCAATTTGCCTCTTCTTCAGCGCGAGAACCAGCTTAAGCAGAAACTGTAAACATGTCTTTAGCTGAGTTTATGGTTCTCTCCAAGTATGTACATATAGCAACAACAGATTGGGGCCTCAGAGTTCAAAATGTCAGTTTAGAAGCCTTTTCAGCATTTCTTCCGTGTCCACAAGTAGCCCGTGAAAAAAATGGGGCACCCGAGTTATTAAATGTTTAGGATTTTTTTTTAAAAAAAATTCTTTGCCTTTTACTTGGTTGTTGATCACAATTTCCCCCCCTTGTCCATGAATTATCCCTTAGGGTGGATTACTGATCAACCATCATGCAGACCAGTCACTAAACAGCTTTTGTCAGTGGCAGTCTGCTCTGGTTGGAAAGAACGGGAAGCGTCATGACCATGCCATCTTGCTTACCGGATTTGATATCTGCTCCTGGAAGAATGAACCATGTGACACTTTAGGTATGACAAGGAGATATTCTATGGCGAAACGATGAAAGCCATAAAATGTAAATAATGGGTTGGATCCAAGCAGTTTTTCTGCTGGGGAAAAAGGACTACCCCACAAAAAGCTATGTTTGGGATCATGGGATGTGCTTGGACAGATTCCAGGTGGGTTGCAGACTGTAGCGAAGACAGGATTTGGGTGAGATTCAGTGGCTGGATCCAACCCCATATAACTCATCTGGATTTAAAGTAAGAGTCCAGTGGCATCTTAACTACTGGTGGTGGAAAGAGCTGACAAGTCTCAGTTGATTTATGGTGACCCTGTAGTTTTGTCAAAGCTAGAGATGAATAGAGGTGGTTTGTCTTCACCTGCCTCTGCACAGTGGCCCTGGACGCCCTTGGTGGTCTCGCATCCAAGTCTAACCAAGACCAGCCTCTGAATTTCCTGTCCTCCTTTGAATTTCATGATGGTTGAAACAATTTTAGAGTGTGTGGGGGGAAGTGTTGTCCCCTCCATAAGGTTCTGCCATCTGAAGAAACATCTGTGGCTTTATACACAGGATGCTGGACTAGATGGACCCTGGGTCTGATCCAGCAAGTTCTCATTTTCTTGTGTTCTTATGTCCCTGCTCTATAGCATCCTAATCACCGTAGTTAATCTAGCATCCAAAGCAGACCAATGCAGAGGGGGAAAAGTTGTGTAGAAAGTAGCAAGTCAGTCTCAGTCTTTAACAGGTTTTGGACCCTGCAATGGAGGACCAAAAAGCAGACGTCATCTGAGGGAACCTTATTTTGGATGGCTTCTGGGACTTGGGGAATCTTCAGCCCAGTACTGTTGTTTTAGATTTTGAAACCACCTCTGGCCAACAGCATTCTTGTTCTCTCTGGCTGACCTTACGAAAAGAGCTGGAGCCTCCTTTTGAAAATCACTTTCCCAGCTGACTGGCTTGGTGTTGAGTCAGCAAAGAACATGAGCCTGTGTTACTTTTGTAAGCTGCTGCAGACAGAATGCATTTTTTTTCTTGGATTGGGCCCAGCCTAGCCGTGTGTGTATGAGTTTGCCTTGTATATTCCTTCTACGTGCCAAAACTGAATGTGTGCTGAATCTTCCCCAGGCACCCAACTAAAATATGTGATGAATCTCTGTGAAGTTGTGCAGCAGAACGTAATGTCATCCCTTTCTTCCGCCACTTTTCCTTTTCTCAATCCCTCCCTGGCAGGTTTCGCTCCCATCAGTGGAATGTGTAGCAAATACCGCAGTTGTACCATCAATGAAGACACTGGGCTTGGCTTGGCGTTTACTATTGCTCATGAATCTGGACACAAGTAAGCAATTTCTCGTGAGTTCTGTCTCCCTACAAGTTACCCAAAACAGACAATAATGCTCAAATTTGGAGTTTTTTGCAGTGCTTCTCTTCAGTGCCCCTTCTGGCATCATCTCAGGAATGTGGGAGAAGCTGATGCACGTCTCCTTTTATGAGCCCTGCAGGGCAGCTTCCACAGGGAGATGATTCCCCATTGTGGGTTCCTTGCTGCAGCAAATGCAGCATCTGCACTGGGTGATTCTCGATTTTTCCTCCCTACCCCTGTTGGCCACCATCCACCTCCCAACACTGTCGGAAAGGTTTTGGCTGGCTTTTAAGAAAACCAAAAGTAGCTGTGTCACTATAATGTTATAGTGGTACACCTACTAGCTGATTTTGTTTTAAAGGTAAAATCCTGCTGAAAATTGGGGGGAATGGTGGGTGTGGGAATAGGGAGGGAACACAGTGCCCAGATGTGGATGAGGAGGTTTGGAAATCTGCATTTTCCCAGAGCAAAGACAATAGGGGAGCTCACATCCATAGATTCCAAGGGACACTGGTCTAACTAACTCCATCCTCACCATCCTGAGCTGAGAAGTATCACACAGGACTCCTTCCCTTCTCCTTTGAGACCAGTATGATGAGAAAAGCTTAGGGTTGCCAACTCCAGACTAAAAAATACCTGGAGAGTTGAGGATGGAGCCTGGGAGAGTGGGGTTTAGGGAGGGGAGGGTATAATGCCAGTGCAGTCCACCTTCCAAAGTGGTCTTTTCCTCCAGAACAAGTGGAATAAATGTTTTTAATTAACAAATAAAGCGATTTATTGCAGTCTAGAGATCAGTTGCGGTGACTCAAGTGGTTAAGTCGCTGAACTGCAGGCTGTGGGAGGTCAGTAGTTCAGCAGTTCGAAACCTGGGTGCCGCATGATGGAGTGAGCTCCCATCTCTAGTTCCAGCTCCTGCCAACCTAGCAGTTCGAAAGCAAGAAATTGCAAGTAGATAAATAGGTACCACTTCGGTGGGAAGGTAACAGCGTTCCATGCACCTTGGTGTTTAGTCATGCTGTAAATAACAAAAATTTTAGCAGTTTTAGTTGTGTCCTTCTGGGTTAATACAGTCCTTTAATGCACTCTCCGAACAAATCTTCAAGTCTTGGGGTTTCTTCCTTTTACATCTCTCAAGTTGTAAGATGGACCTTTAACTGCTCCTTCTTCTTCCGGTTTCATGTCCTCCCTCTTCGAGCCGCTGTCTAAGCCTAGAGAAACTTCATGATGGGTTCCCAGGAAGCCTGGGCATCAAGAGGGAAAATTAAAGAACAGCAACAAACCCCACCAAAACCCCCCCACATCTTTGCTTCTGCCCTCTGTGGAGCCACCTTCATTTCCATCCCTCACTTTGGGGAAATCTGACAGTGTGAAAACCAGGCATGCATTCCATCTACACACACTAGACCTTGTTCCAGTATTTATTTTTATTTATTTATTTATTTTATTCAACTTATATCCCACCTTCCCCGCATGGCAGGCTCAGGGCGAGTTACATGAAATTTGATAAAAATACAATATACACAGTTAATACAGTTAAAACACTAGTGAAATACCACAATGGCCTTCATCCAGTACTGTTGTTATTGACCTTAAAACCTCACAGGTGCCAACTCTGGTATGCAGTTCTGACCCGTTGAGGGGCGGCCCAGTAAAGAGGGAGGGGCATCCGTCGCCCTAGTTAAAAGCCTGGCGTAGGTAGGTAAGGTGTGTGATGGGTTCTGAGGAGGGATTCTGGGGTGGCACAGTTACAGGGATTCTGGGAGGAAGACACAGGGGACAGCAAGGGAGGGGGGAGGTGAAACTATTTCAGGAAGTCAGAGAACTTTGAACATAACAAAGCTGCCTTATACTGAGTCAGATCACTGTTCTATCAGGGTCAGTATTTTCTGCTATGACAGGCAATAACTCTTCAGGGTCTAGGGTGTCTAATCTTTCACATCAGCTCCTCCCTGATCCTTTTAACTGGAAATGCTGGGGATTGAGCCTAGAACCTTCTTTGTGCAAATGAGGCCCTCTTCCACTGAGCTATATTCCCTCTAGAAAGAAGTGAGGTGGCACCATGAAGATATTTTTTTTGGATGACTCAGGGCTATTTTTGGGCAGGAACGCACAGGAACGGCGTTCCGGCTGGCTCCTGAGTTGGCCACACCCAGCAGGAACTCATTAGCGTAATAGGCCACACCCAACAGCAGAAACTCATTAGGATTGGCTATATTAGTGGTGTGTGGCCTAACATGCAAAGGGGTTCTTGCTACACACACACAAAAAAAGCCCTGGATTTTGACGACAAACAAGGTGAACAGAATAAGTGGCAAAATGTGGGTGTAGCTGGATGACCTAACTTCTGGTAACATGGGGGTGTGTGGCCTAATATGTTCACGAGCTGTGTTGTCAAGGGTGTGGCCTAATATGCTAATGAGTTCCTGCTGGGCTTTTTCTACAAAAAAAGCCCTGGGGATGGTTAAGGATAGTGGTGGTTCAGGAGTGACGGTCAAAAGCAGAAGCGGCCAATTGCAGCTGGGTTTTATTTGGGTCTTTAAAAAAATAATGCTATTCCCATCTTGAACTTCTGAGTCGGAGTGGGCACTGCATTTCAATATATACATGTGTGGTGACATAGTGTTGCCAAGGCACTGGTAACAGGCTAACTGTGGCTTTTAGCACGAAGGCAGGATTTAAATCCGGGGTTTCTTTTGTTCAGGAATCTTTATGAAAATACATCCCGCACAGAAGCTCCCCTTTGTTGGCTGACAGTTCCATTCAGCTTGTCCCCTTTTGTCAATGGCCACACTGCTGCCGTTCCTTTCACTTGTTTCACGAATCCCTGATTCTGCATGACTGCTCGAAGTTATTCAGTCCCCTTTGTGTAAATACTGTGCATGGCATTGGCTGTGACCTCACGTCTACATGAGTGGCCCCTTTGCAGGTTGCCGTTCATCTGAAAGGAAATGAGGAATTAAGGATTAATCCTGATCCCAGTGGTAACCCCGTGAGGCCTTTGAGTGAGAAAGAATGATAACCAAAACTGGGGCAGTTCAGAACCGTGCAATGAGAGTTATGTCCAGTTTACATCAGCCCCAGTGTTTTCCAATTAGAAGGATGAGGTAGTGAATGATGTGAAAGACCTCCACCTAGGACCCCGGAGAGCTGCTGCCAGTCAGAGTAGACAATACTGACCTTGATAGACAAATGGTCTGATTCAGTATAAGGCTTCATGTGTTCATATGACATATGGCAATGAACTCACTTCCTTTTTTCAGTTACCTCTGTATGCCCATTCTCAATTTTGGGGGAGGGATGGTTGCCTCCATTAGAAAGGATAAATTTCTGGTTGCAGCATGAGACTTCTCAAGGAGAGTGGTTATATCTGGCTGACTGGCTCTCCTTAACCTTGGCCTGTGTCAAGAAAATCTACTCTATGAAGAATGTGGATGCCTAATCCCAGGGCTTTTTTTGTAGAAAAAGCCCAGCAGGAACTCATTAGCATAATATGCCACAACCAACAGCAGAGACTCATTAGCATATTAGGCCACACTCCATTTGTCACAGCTCATTAGCATAGTAGGCCACACCCCATGCCTTCCCTTGGCTTGTCTGGGTGCCCCGTGGCTGCGGGAAGCCCGGGCAAGCCGGCCCTTGGACAGACCGGGGAAGGCATGGGGAGGTATTTAAATGCCTCCCCGATCCTTCCAGGCCCCCCCCCAGCCTGCCCGCTTCGGAGTCGCCGGGGGGGCGGGCGCCAGGCCTTTCCTCTGTAGTTACACACACAGAGGTTTTGGCTGTAGTGGGCGTGGCCAACTCTGAAGCCAGCTGGAACTCCATTCCTGTGCGTTCCTGCCCCAAAATAGCCCTGCCTAATCCTAAAACATAACGTGTTGGGAGCAAGTCAGGTGGACAGGTTAAAACTTGTATTGACTACAAGGGTAGGTAGGGTGGAGGTCCATTGCTTTGCTTGGACTACTGTGGGTATGGTTGATAGTGGGTTTTTTGTGCACTATAAATCTGCTGCACAGCTGGTTAGATCCTCCCACAGGTGGGGAGGGAAACCAGAGTAAACTGTGAGATGTGCCTTAGGCATTGAATGTATAGGCCTGGCATAGAGTGCCAGGGAGAGGGTGGAAGTCTTGCTGGTTTACCATCCACCTAGCTTACCACCTGACTCCCTCCTGAGGCTGTCTGAGGCAGTGGCAGAGTGGGCCTTACGTTTCCCCAAACTGATTGTCATCCATGCCAACACGGCCTTATCTGGTCCTCCTTAGACTATGACTGCCATGGCATCATTAGGAATCTCCCAGATTGTATTGGCCCCCACTCACAGAGCAAGCCCCACACACCGGATCTGATCTTTTGTGCAAGAATTGATCTGGATTCAGTGGTTCTCTGTGGACTAGTGTCATGAACTGATCATTACCTTGTGAAGGTCAGTTTAAGATTTGCCTCCTATCTCTACAGGGCCGAGCTTACTTATGCTCGTCCACAGAGACTCATGGATTCGGTTGGATTCCAGAATGCTCTGTGGGATTTGTCTGGCTCTGCCGGCAGTTCACTGATGTCTGTAATCTGGACCTTCAGGAAGCCATTGACTGAGTTGCCCCTGCATCCTCTTCGCCCCCATAATACCTTGGCTCCTTGGTATATGAATGAACTAAGGATAGTAAAAAGGGGACTAGACAGCTAGAGCGGTGCTGGTGACAAACTTGTGACAAAGCAATGAGAGCACTTTATAGAGCCCTCTTGAAAGCCTAGGAAGTGGCAGTGAAGGCAGCGAAGCACTCTTACTTTTCTGCCTCCATTGCATCTGCCGTGTCATGTTGAATTCAGTTATTTAGAGTTATTAGGCAACTGAATCTCTGTGGACTAGTGTCATGAACTGATCCTTACCTTGTGAAGATCAGTTTAAGATTTGCCTCCTATCTCCTATCTCTACAGGGCCGGCGAGCTTACTTTTGCTCGTCCACAGAGACTCATGGATCCGG